GTTTGTGGAAAAATTCCATTTTCTTTTCATTTCATTTGCCACAAACTTTTAGAAGCCTCCTTGTTTGGGAAGTTATATATTTAGTGTAGGTAAGTCCAGATATTTCATTTCAAATATTACATAAAGCATAATATTGCTTACAGCAGGTTTGGAACTATAGAGGAAAATAGAATGTAATCTACTAGTTTCAACAGAAAGAATTCAATATAGGGAATTAGCTATCCAGGAGTTTGAAGATTGAAAACCTGCAAAGGAGATGCTAAAGTAAGCCCTAAATTAATAATTATAGGAAGCAAATACCAAGCCTCAAACTCAAATCCAAACTCACTACCCTCAAGTCGATTCCAACTTACAACAATCCTATAGGCCAGGGCAGAACTGTCCCTGTGAGTTTCTGAGACTGTAACTCTTTACAGGGTTAGAAAATCCTATTTCTGTCCTATTGTGTGACTGGTCATTTTGAACTGCTGACCTTGCAGTTAGCAGCCCAACATGTAACCACTATTAGAGGACCAAATTAGAACTCATATTCTCAAATATTGAAGTCCATACATTTTTTTACCTGCCTCTACTCTGAAGGCCAGGAGCTCTTAGTTTGTGACTGTCCTCTGACATTAGCCACCAGCCAAAAGTCCCTAGGAACATCATGCAGAACCAGAAAAGAGCTAAGAAAAAATATACACTGAAGCAATCTAGGATGGGAAAAAAATTACAGGGAGGATTTTGCATGCATTTGCCCATCAAACCCCAGGAGTGAGCTCATAGAATTCAAAATAGAATATGACAATGTCTTTATGAGTAGGCCAAAGGGAAGTAACCCACTGGTAAATCAAACAATGGTCTGAGAAGTTAGCACACAATATATACACGGAATTATAGGGCGCATGAGATGGAAATGAAAAGTCCTAGTGGTGTCGTGGCGACTCATTGGGCTGCAATCTGCAAGGTCTGCTGTTCGAAACCACCAGCTTCCCCTCGGGAGAAAGGATATTCTGCTCCCTTAAGCAGTTACCATCTCAGAAATTGTATTGACCTATAATAATTGATTTACTCAATGGCAGTGACTTTTTTTGCTGCTGGTTGAGATGGAAATCACATGATCCTCAAGCATCTACCAGGAAGGCTTCTCTGAATCACCCAGCCTTGGTGGAAATAAAATTTGGAAGAATTGTTTGAAGACTGTATGTTTTAGAGTCCGTGTGGACGAGGCATTGGGCTGCTGTTTACAAGGCGTGTGGTTGAAAGTCACTAGCTGCTTGACGGAGAAAGATGAAGACCACTTTGCTTCAGATGCCCTATGTAGATCGGGACAACTGTGTTCTGGTTACCATCTATATTAGATGGTCATCTAAATTCTGTTTGGGGTACAGACTGTCCAATGAGTCTGAATACAATGAATGATACCCTACACACGAAAATTTATGCTGAACCAAATTGATATGTTAAATAACAGAGATGAGGAAGAAAACAAAGTTTGCTGTAAAGTTAGAATAGAACCCATGTTTAGAGGAGAACTTATATATTAAGCAACAGTGCTCAATTTATACCTATACTTTTAGCTTACATGAATTCTAGAAAGTAGGTGAAATTATTCTAGTATACAGTTGGAATTTGTGGCCCAATGTGCAGAATTTCAAGTCCCTAAATGTTGTAACAGGATTGCGCTTCACTCCTGACTTTAAGGTTGGCAGCTTGAATACACCAAGAAGCACCAACAAGCCTGGTGACCTACTGCCGTAAAGATGACAAAGGTTCTATTCTGCTATTAGAGCTATTTAGAACAGTGCGTAGTCTGACTGATAAGGAATCTGGGTTGGTTTGTTTTTGTTCAGGCTCGGATTCTTCTCTCTCTCGTTTTTGAAAATGTTAGTCATTTTTATTTATTTTTTAAATATTATTTATTGAATATAACACATACAAATAAAAACATGCGGTATGTAGATGCGCAGCCCATCTCATGAAAACAGTGACGGTGCCCCAGAAATGCCTTATGTACATGGTACATTATTCTACTACTCCCTCCACTAAGGTTTGTCACTGGGACAGAGGAGTGCTCCATAATGCCTGGCTAGAGAAATGAGGAGGCCCTGTTCCAATAGGAGGCCTCTCTTCTTTAAAGATCCCACTGTGTGGAGGTGGGTTATGGGAAGGCTGCATTCTTGCAGCCCACATTTCCCCCAAACTTGATTCACAAATAGTGGGAAGCTGAGGGCTGGTTTGTGCATAAACGCAGTGCCAATGATTGTTCCATAGTCTAGGCTTTCTTTAATGCTCAGGGACCAACCGAGTACCGTATATATTTGAGTATAAGCTGACCCGAATATCAGCCGAGGCGCCTTATTTTACCACAAAAACTGCATAAGAAATGTGCTGAAAAACTCAGCTTATACGCAAGTATATACGGTAAATCTGGAAAGGAACCCTTAACAGAGAAACAAGTTGTGCTGATCGTTGGGTGTGGAGGCACAGATCACTGAAGATGGCACACAGGGGTGAAGGAAAACAAAATTTGTCTGGGTTACACATGGGTTCACTATGAGTCAATATCTGCTCCACAGTGTTGTTGTTTTTACCCCTTATTTAATGCAGAACCTCAGAATTCTCCTTAAAAACCTACCACAGTATCCTCTAATAATAAGACCCAGAACAAAAAATCATATTGATGTGAATGAGGGGTAGGGCAAAGTGGAGACCCAAAGCCCATCTGTAGACAATTGGACATCCCCTTACAGAAGGGTCGCAAGGAAGAGAGCAGCCAGTCAGGGTGCAGCAAGCACCATCTAAACATGCAACTTTCCTCTAGTTCTTTAATGCTTCCTCTCCCACCACTATCATGACTCCAATTCTACCTTACAAATCCGGCTAGACCAGAGCATGTACACTGGTACAGATAAGAGCTGGAAACACAGGGAATCCAGGACAGATAAACCCATCAGGA